TCGGATTTATATGTCACTTAGTATATTAAGCCTGAAATATTGTTGCCATATCACCTAGACTTATAGAGATCTCAGTCTTTGGCCTTGCCCCATAAATCTCAGTCTCCGTCTTCAGTTTTCGAGCCATCTGTGTACCGGTAGCATTTGGCACGTTAAGGAAATCCCTCCTCCAACGCTTTTCTTTCTGGTACTGTTGTTTGATAATTTGATTGAAATTGTGCAGTTTGACTCAATCTGTAAAAATCAGTAGGTGTCCGTCTTCGAACTTAAAGGTTACATCAGGGGTTTCTTGGGAGTCCCATTGTGCTCCTCTCCTCTTCATTTAGTTTGTGAATGTATTCCCTGATGTTAAAGGAACTGTGTTTGCTGATGACCTGGTAATTTACAGGTCAATTATGCAGAGGGATAAAATGCTGAGGCTTAAGCGGGACCTTCATCTGCTGTGGCAGTCGATACAGCTCAATCACCTGTATTCAAACAATAATAAATTATTTTTCAGAAGCTGCTAGTGCAGCAGGAGCAGAATTTCGACTGACTAAAGATAAATAAGCTAACCTCTCTTATAAGGCTACCGCTAGGGATCTTGTAGTGCTTTTTTGGATGAAACCTCAAACTTTCCAGACCTCAAGGTCAGTGTAAAGGGCATGCAGAAGCTGGGCTTTCTTAGGAAAAACGAATATGTTTTTTAATCAATACCTTCCGAATTTTATACTGCTTTTTGGTAAGGTTAAATCTTGAATACGTCACAGTAGTAGTCTCCTCAGTACCAGATGTTCGACATAAATGTTTACGTCTTGCAGCATTGAAGATGAACTTAAACATGGCTGAATATCATAGAGATGACATGTTATAACATTTAAATTTACCTATGTTGGAGCATAGCCGATTGGTCTTGATGGTTGTTCCACTTTCAAGATTTTGTTGGGGCTCACCGGCTACAAAACTAGGCACCAGTATTTTTAAATCTATTTAAGGGCTACTGGAAAAATAAGATAGCTAGATTTTCCTACTCTTTGAGAAGTTTTAATAGTTATTTCTGCCGATAAATTCATACCACAATTAGGCAACTTGTTTAAAGACAAAATATGCCAAATATCTCTGGAAGGATATTAGTGATTGTGGTTTTTGTAATGTCTTTTTTATGGAAAATTTAATAAATATTCTTGTCTTAAATTAGTATTTTTTTTCGATAATCTTTGCAGAAGTTAAGTTAAGATTAAAGGTTCCGCGGCCCACCTAGTCTTCATGGTTCTGGCCCACCAGTGGAAGTTTGACATCATGATGCATTGAAGATGATGACGTAGCGTGCTACAGGGTCATATTATTATTATTATTATTATGATAATTGAGATGAGCAGAGTACACAGTACTATAAGCTCATGCAGTAAATATAGTGTACGGACACGTAACACAAATACATCAAACAGAAAAAAATAAAAAAAGACAGTTCATAGCTATAAAGTTTGTACACTCCTCCAGCTATCATACTGCACTTTGAAGCTATTAACTGAAGTAGCACCAACCACACTTTCAGGTAAACTATTCCAGGTGTTGAATATGCGGTTGGGAAGAAACCACTGTCGGACTGTTGTTTTAAATGGCTCCTTATGCAGTTTGAAGCTGTGTCCGCGTAGATTGCTGCGCGACAGACGGTATAGATGCATGAGGTTGGTGCCCATCAAACCATGAAGTATCCTGAACGTAACTATAAGATCGCCACGAAGTCTTCGCTCAGAGAATGAGCTCAGGTTGAATAATTCAAGGCGATCTTCATAGCTTGGTCTTCGTGCTCCAAAAAGGATACGAGTAGCCCGACGCTGTACTGATTCGACGAGATTTCTATCGCGCAGAAGCACAGTGTCCCACATCGGGCCAGCGAATTCAAGAATTGGCCTCACGAATGCCTTGTAAATGTAGGCGCTAGTGTTGACATCGGATCCTTTGAAAGACCTCTCCAGCATGTATAGAAGTTTCTTGGCTTTTGATGTAACGTGGTGAATATGCTCTGGCCAGGAAAGACGATCGTTGACTAAAACGCCCAGATCAGTGTGGCTGGAAACTGCTTCGATGTTGTGGTCAGAGATCTTGTATGTAAATCGCGGATTTGTCTTCCCGAAGTGAAGGACACAACACTTAGTTAGATTTAAGGGTAAAAGCCAACTGACTGACCATTGACAAACAATATCAAGATCTCGTTGAAGCATAGCAGAATTTACGACAGTATTGTAAATCTTGGTGTCGTAGGCATAAGCTGAACATGTGGAGGAAATCAATGCGGGCAGGTCACTTGTATACAGAAGGAACAGCACTGGCCCCAAGACAGAGCCTTGAGGAACTCCACTTGCTACATGATGAAGGTGAGACTGGCTATCACTGACGCGCACGGAGAAAGTCCTCCCGGTGAAAAAAGCCTTAATCCACAGTAACAACTCGCCTCTTATTCCCATACATTCCAACTTAAACAGAAGCCTTCTATGTGGTACGCGATCGAAAGCCCTAGAAAAATCTAAGTAGATTATATCAACAGGAGTCTTTGTGTCCAGATACTGAGTCCAATCGTTGAGAGAGTGGAGAAGGTTGGTCATTATTGATCGACCAGGGAGAAATCCATGCTGATTCTTAGGGATAAGGTCATTTTCGAAAGCAAATGATAGGAGCTCATCTAATATGATTCTTTCAGCTATTTTGGCGGCGATAGGAACGAGACTTATTGGTCGATAATTTTTAGCAGAGGATTTGTCGCCCTTTTTGAATACAGGGGTAACAGAAGCACTAAGCCAGCATGAGGGTAGGGTATGAGATCTAAAAGACGATGTGAATATCAAGCTTAATGCTAGGGCCAGTGCTGAAGCGCAGTTTTTAAGTTCAGCAGCCGTCATCCCATCTTTACCAGGGGAGGAAGAGGTCTTCAGATTTCGCAGGTGCATTAATACATCTTCAGGCAGGAACTCAACTTCGCAAAGGCTGTTGGGACACCTATGGCAGATAGTGGTCGGTAGAAGGTCTCCATTAGGCTCATCGACGAAGTCATCACTAAAGGACTCTGCCAGTAAGTTGGCAGATTCGGTGGCATCCATATGGAGATGACCGTCAGCGTCGCGGATCTGAGGTGATGAAACTTTGGAATTTAGGTTTGTTCTTAGATACCGAAACAGCTTCTTCTTATTTTTGGAGGTAACGAGTTTTCGTTCATAAGCATGTTTGGCATTATGTAACGTTCTAGATAGGAGGTTAGAAAAGGATCGATGAGACATAATCTTGTGAATGGCCACTCCTCCTAAACCGTTGCCACAAAGATCTCTTGTGACGAAGCATCCTCGATATGTTAGAGTTGATCCAGGGCTTTGAGGGGTCACAGTATACCTTCTTTTCAACAGTATTGTCAGCTGTTTCGCTTAGGACTCGTTGAGCGAAAGTGTCCCACTTATCTTGGGTGCTACGGTTGTTAAGCAAAGCAGGCCAGTTGACAGACAGGGCTTGGTTAAGAGCATCGTGGTTTACAATTTTGATGGTTTTAAACTTATCGGTTGTAGAACGACTATTTATATTGAACTGGAGAGAAGATAAAAGTGAACAGTGGTCAGACTTGCCAAAAGGTGGCAAATAATCTAAATTAGAAACAAAGTCGGCGTCGTTAACGAATATCAAATCCAGAGCCCTGAGCGTCTGTCCTTCCCTGAATCTCGTTGGACGATCAACAAGTTGAGATATGCTAGAGTTGTGTAGCAAGTCGATGTAAGCAGCAGAAGAAAAATTGCATTCAGGAATGGTTGACATAGGCCAGCTAATGTCACGTAGATTAAAGTCACCAGCTATGAAAAGGTTGGAGGTTGGTGTTTTTATTTAAGAGATCTGAAATGAGACTGCACAGGTGTGTGTCTCCCAAACAGGGCCGTGGCCGATATATGCAGCCTATCGTGCAGCTGAAATTTGGGCACCTCAATTCCAAAAATAGATTGTCAATGCCATCGAAAGGACTGAAAGAGGGAGATACCAAGAAAGCCGACGCGATTTCCGTGCGAACATAAATGCATACTCCACCAAAACCAGGAGTGCGTGGTGAATCCATTCTGTATAAATAGTATCCAGGCAAATTGATGGAAGAGTCGGACACGTTGGAATGGAGCCATGTTTCAGTAAGGCAAACGAACGTTGGATTATTGTCTCGAACAAATGGTTGGAGTTCAAGTAGCTTAGAAAAGAGAGATTCTATATTAGTGTAACAAACCGTCCAGTTTGCCACAGAATTTATCAGTTTTTTGAAGGGTGTGTACTATAGAAGGTTTACCACGAACGTATTTTATAGTAATATTACTTTCGCCTGTTGTTTGACGACGTCTAAGCTCTTCGCGAAGGTGTTGTAGTTCTTGCATTTGACCTCTGGTTTTGTCGTCAGAGATTTTTACGTGACGAAGCGTGGGGTGGCTAAGGATGGAGTTTTTCTTCCGCAAAATATTGCTGACGATAATAGGTGAGGAAAACACAACTCTAATTAAACGATTGCTTGAAGTTGTTCTGCCAAGGCGAGTGATGCTGAGTCGGTGATTTTCGGCAGATGGTTCAATATGCCTATTTATCTCTGATACTATGTTTATGTCATCGTTCCCTTCAGCTATGCCCCTCAGAATGATATTGTGGGAACGTCTAAATAACTCCATTGTCTCAGCTTGGGAGCTTGGGGCAATATGGGTAGAAGAAGCGCCGTTGCCTGAGTGCATCGTCTCCATAGATCTTGCAAGTCTCGATTCAATATTAGCAATGTTAGAAGACAGCTCTGTTTGAGTAACCTGGATATTTTGTATGTTGGTTTCGCAGGCCGCTATTAAGTCATCATGCCGAGAGATCGAGTCCGAATGTTGCTGTAGCCAGTTTCTTCTACAATAAGCAACATCAGTTCTGAGTTGAGATTGAGAGTTCTTAATATCCTTTATGTCACTGGCCATAGTTGATAATTGGTTAAGTATAAGGGTGAGAGTGTCGGTAGGGGTAGACTGATCTGGTTATAAAGGAGCAGTGGTTTCTGAACGAGCACCGCATGTGGAAGAGGTGGATCCGCTTCGGGTAACTCGTCCCTGTTTACAACAGGCTGGGCAAGACCATCGTTCTTTTCCGTCCGACAGTTCTTCGTTGTTATCACTGTATTTTTCTACATTATCCCCATCTTCAGGATCTTTCATGTTTTTATTCTTCTTTCGTACAGTCTGACTCATGTTCCCTTATTATGCTAATTATTGTTTTGTTATAACTGCGTATTGCCGTAGTTGCGGTTTTGAATAAAGCTAGCTATCCTTTGTAGATTGTAATTAAGTTCTGTGGTTTAAAGAACTGGAGTCGTGAATTGAATATCGAATTTATCCCATAATTTACAGAACAGGTTCCGATGAAACCGCAAATCAAACATGAGAGCCAATCACCAGTTTCCGACAAAGCTAAACGTGCGCTTTTTCAGACGAGCATTCAACATATTGACATATCTTGATTTTGATGGCACTCCCGCCAGTTTTTCAGCTATCCAATTATTTATTGTTCTGTAAAAACTGTATAATGTTGTCGTGGTTGTGATTTTGAATAAAGCTAGCTATCTTTTTCAGCAGCATCTGAATAAGTTTTCATTTCATCAAATTGAGTCTTGGATTGAAGATTGAGTTTATCACATAAAACAAATCCACATCATCAAATCAAATAAAAGAGGCAATCAGTTTCGTATCATAAAATAACTGTCGTTTATGAATTATGGTCAGCACTCGATAGAGCACTTCATCTTATTAATTTTGTTCAGTCTTATACAGGGTTATCCAAATTAAGTGTCCACCATTAGTAACTTTGTTATTAGTGAAAATACAAAGTTGTTTGAATTAGCAAACTAGTAGCATTTTTAACGCTGGTAAAAATGAGAAATAAAAAAAAACAATTGAGAGTCGTTATTTTGATTTTTTTCAGTAAAATAACATTTTTTTAAATGGAAACCCCTGTATATTATATTTTTTTCTGTTAAAGCATCAAATTTTAAACAAAAAAGCTTACAATAACTTTTCTCCTAGGTTACAAATTGTTGAAGTTATGGCCTCCAATCTGAAACAATTAAATTGTATCGACAAACTTTATTTTCAACATCAACTTATAATCTTACAAAATACAATAACAATTTTTTTTAAAGAAGATGCTCGAAAACACCACCTTGTTCTTCAATACATTTTTGGGCACGTTTTTCAACTGCTCGAACTTAAGTATGGTCCTACCATCTATCTGGGTTATCTTTTCCCTAACTGCAGTCTTTAACGCGTCAAGGTTATCGTACCTTCGCTTGTAAATTTGGTTCTTTAAGTAACCCCACAAGAAGTAATCAAGTGGGTTTAGATCTGGTGATCTGGGAGGCCACTGTATTGGGCCATATGTTCCTATCCACTGATCATTAAAAGTAGTACTTAGAAAATGATAAGTACCTCTGGAGTTGTGGGCAGGTGCGCCATCTTGCTGAAAATGCAGATGATGTCTACTTATAAGATCCAATTCGTCTAAGAAATTAGTCAGAATTTCTGACATAAATTCCACATATCTTTCACCAGTTAGGGTTCCCTCATAAAAGAACGGGCCAACAATTTTTGAACCAATTATACCGCACCAAACGTTGAAACTGAAACGGACTTGTGGGCCTCTTGGATGTACTAACAAAAGATTTTCTCTTGACCAATAATGGTGGTTTTTTCTATTAAACATTCCAGAATTTGAAAAATTTGATTCATCTGTCCATAAAAGGTAACGAAAGTTATTTACATTTTGGCGACAGAAGCTAAGATACCAATGGCAAAAAACAAGTCTTCTCTCTGGATCCCCTGCCAAAAGCGTTTGAACTGGTCGGTACTTATACGGAATAAATTTGTATTTTTTTAAAATCCTTTGAACAGTACCATAACTGAAATTAGAGTCCTTGAGAATATCTGCTATTGAATTCTCACGATAAGCTTCAAAATATCCAATAACCGCAATTTCCGTAGCCTCGCTTATTATGAATTCTTTTTTTGCCCTTGTTTTAGCAAAAACATTTTCGTTGCCCCTAAATTTTCGATAAAGTCTCAGAAAATATCGTTCATACGGTTGAATGCGAGCGGGATATAATTCACTGTAGTATTCTCTTGCTCTCAAGGAGGATTTTCTGCACACTAAATAGCATTCTAACATATCACACTTTTCTTCATGGGAGAACATTTTTCTTTTAATATTAATGACACAATAAAGCTTATAAACAAGTATTTACACTAATGTTTGACATTATTTGATTTTATCATTGTTTTCCAAAGCCTTCTAGTTGCGAGTATGTCCAGTTTAACAATTTGTCGCTTATCTTAATGCTGTCAAATCGCGAATGTTGTTTTCATAGCTGTCTTAATATTATAATACTGCAAATAATTAAAAATATTTATCGTTATTTTGACTTTATTTTTGACTTTAGCGGAAAAGTCATTATGAACTTTTTTGTTTAAAATTTGATGCTTTAACAGAAAAAAATATAATATACAGGGGTTTCCATTTAAAAAAATGTTATTTTACTGAAAAAAATCAAAATAACGACTCTCAATTGTTTTTTTTTATTTCTCATTTTTACCAGCGTTAAAAATGCTACTAGTTTGCTAATTCAAACAACTTTGTATTTTCACTAATAACAAAGTTACTAATGGTGGACACTTAATTTGGATAACCCTGTATAGACATCTCTACCTCTCAGGCTTTAAAACGTATCATTTGAGTTGTGATCTTATTTAACAATGTTCTTGTGAGCATGTACGTTTTAAATGTTTTCGATACGAGTCTGCTTCTGTTCCTGGCGGCGTGCTGATCTTGGTAAGTGTTCTGGTATTACTGCCGCGTTTGACCCGATAAGCAGTGTTGCCAGAGCCAACATTGAAAATTCCGCTACTGGTATCGAAAAACTCCGCTACTTTCCGCTACCCCGGTGATTATCGTCGGAGGGAGGGTGGTTGGCGCACTATCATAAAACAGGGGGGCACTTATTATACAGGTTGTGCCAAAAAAGGAAAACAAAAACCAAACACCGTGATAAAATATAACATAAAACTGTAATAAAAAACATTTGACTATAAAAACCAATACAATATTACAAATAACTGTCAAACAACAGAACAATTATCACGCAGTCATATTAAAAAAATATCACAGGATACTAAAAAATAAAAAGCCATTTCTGATTTGCATAAAAACATTGAGGTTTTTGAGTTACTTATACCTGGTCACTGTCTTTATCTTCTTGTTGTATTTCTGATCTCTGTATACTATATAAATTATTTTTGTATTTTTTTAAATGTTTTTCACCAAATTCGAAGTCTAAGTAGCAACATTTTTTTGTATTGTATCGAGTTTGATAAGTATCGCGAGCAAACTTGGAGGTAAAATACGATTACTTTTCTTTGTTTTGATTATCCCCATAGATATATGAGAATGTCCACTCGACATCTGTATTACCATGTGGCAAATGTTAAAGTTATTAGACATACTTTGGAAATACACTTCACAGCTTGTGTTCTTACCATCTACTACCATCTATAGTCAACGCCAAACAAAGTGGCGTGCACGTCATCAAGGTGGGTGTGTTGAAAAATTTACATTGTTGCCAAACTTTTTGTAAAATAATAAAATTTATTATTTACATATCTAGGTTTATAAGCAATATTAACCTCAAATGAGAACAAAAATAATAGTATAATAAAATTATAGATCTGTACTTGCATAATCATTAAGTATGACAATTATTGATCAGATGACACTATGAAACTACCATATTTAATTGATAGCTTAAAGGTACTGAATAAAAATCCAAATGGGGTCCTCCAAATTTTATGCATGGTATTTATTTTACAGAATTCATACAGAAAAATGCATTCTAAAATTAGGTAAGCTACTGGTGTAAGCTTTTGCTGTACAATAAAGTTAGTCGGAGTTTCTTTCTTCAGCGCTGTCTGAATCTGAATCTTCATCACTCTCAAAGTTGATTATTAAAGGTTCGATGTCTGGTCGATCAAAAATTCGTTCTCTTTCATACCATTTAAAAATTTCTTGCTCAGCATGTCGAACACTATTTTTCCACATGTCTGGGGTAACCGTTTGTAGAGCCTCGTTCCACATATCCAAACAGTCTTTTTCACTGTTACCATCTCTACCAATATGTCTGTTATAGTAACCTTTTGCTATGCCCCAAATTAACTCAATAGGGTTAAATATACAATGGTAAGGAGGCAGACGAAGAACTTTGTGCCCATGTTGTTCCGCCAATTCAGCAATCACGTATATTTTAGGTGGTTTGTTTCTAAAAAAGCAGTTATTTTAAGAATAGGAATAAACAAAAGAAATATAAACTGTCGACCAAAATATATATAATTAAGAAGCATTATGTACCGAGCAACAATACTCAATAGCTCTGTTTTAAACACTGTGTTTAAAAATGGTATGTTTTGATTTGTCAACCAGTCTTGGATATTTTTTTTTTGTCCATGCTTTGTTGGGCACTTTGTTCAATATCATGCTGTGATAAGGGGCGTTATCCAGTATAATCATAGATGGACTCTCCAATTTTTCTAATAACTGTTGTTGAAACCATTTCAAAAAATTGTCCTGGTTCATCTCTCCATGGTAATCGCTCAATTTTGTTTTCGCAGAAAATATCGCTTCACTACCCTCAATAAACCCATTTTCATTTCCAGCATGTAATATAATGTATCTAAAATATATTAGTTTTAAATTTTATAGTGCAAATTGTGTAAAAGTACATACCTTTTACCATCTGTTTTAATAGCTTTCACGCTTTTTTGGTTTCCATTTTGCCAAGAGCGACCTATGGTCCCATTTTGAAATATCCAAGTTTCATCGAGGAAGACAAACTGGTATAAGGCCTCAACCTTGGCTTGATTGTATTGCCTTAGAAATTCCACCCTTTTCAAAGCTATACTTGGTAGTTCCATGAGCCCTCGTCGCGGATTGTCCTTAAGCCACTTAAATCCAAGATCTCTAAGCAACCGCCTTAAAGACGTGGCACTACCATCAAATAATGCCCTATCTCTTAATCGAGACCATAAAGTTTGTATCGTAACTTGTTCTTCTGAAACCATGTGTAATATGACATTATAATTTAGTTAACAAATTAATGCAAATTTCTGATAAGTTATTATAATAAGATCTTACTTTTGTGATACATATTATA